CACGTGGCGGGCGGGGGCCGGGCGCACACGCAGCGCGGCCGTCGCCGGCCCCGCCCCTCGGGGCAGGCGCGTCGTGCAGCCCAACTCACCTTTCAACTTCGCTCCCGCCGCCCTCCCCAGCCCTGGGCTCCGGCGCGCTCCCGAGCACTTTCCCATGCGCGGAGCGCACCTTGGCTGCCTCCGTAAGTGTCGAGCTAGTTAAGGGTTAGAACTTAGTTTATGACAGCGCTATGTAATAAAGCTGGCCTCACCTTTGCTTCCTGAAGAACGACACCAGTCCTCAAACCCACTCACCCCACTGACAGCGTCTCTGGTTCCACGTCCCACCCCCTCTCGGCAGCACTCGTCTAGTTTGCCCAGTCCCTGAAGGCGTGTGTCCCCTGGAAAGACATTTGCCCCGGTAATTTAATTTTAACACGAAGAAATGCTTACATTTGTGGTGCATAAACTCCATTGAGTTGGTTGCAAGGTATTCATGCCAAGATATGGAAGACGTGGAGATACTCATTTAGAACTGTAGAATTACAATTAGCAATGACAGTAATTCAAAGGTTAGCGTCCCAATCTTTACACTACTTTTTACTTAGTTCTCTCGGAAAGAAGGCTTGACCACATTTTCAAAGTAGGTGGAAGGTCCCTTGCAGCTAAGGTTGGAGACCAGCTTGGGGGCGGGGGAGGGTAGACTCACCAACCTCTCTGCTTTTATAGAGCATCAAACACCTTATTTGCATGCTCCTACCCAGTCATTTGCTAGGCGTTACAAAAACCGTGGGTTTAAAAGTCACAACACCAGAGTTCCCCGGTACAATTCTTGCAGGACAGTTTAAGTCAACTCCATGGCAGTGGGCTTCTTTTTGCTTGTCATTTGTTTTTCTTAGCAGTGTTGAAAGCATAAAAACATGTATGCTAGTGACTGACATTAGATGAGATCTGAGAATTTAATACATACATAACAACATTTGACCTGGAAAGGATGAAAAGCCGCTGATCTACTTTCTGGCCCCCGTTTGGCCACAAATATATGTCAATTCCTTCCTCTGGGTCTCCGTTTTCACAGGTACAGAATGATGACATTGGGCAAAAGCAGTCAGTATGTTGCAAGAAACAAATGAACAGGACTTTGCTCAGAGGTCAACATACTTTGGAGACAGAAGAGCCAATCCTGTACCTCAAAACAATTCAAAAATTATTTGAGAGCATAAATATATATATTTTACAAACCAATGAAATCACCATTATTTGAATAATACCCTTTAAATGTTTTCAATTTTACTCCGAGCCACATGTATGTACTAAAAGAGCCACATAGGGCTCCCAAGCAGCAGTTTGCCAACCCTGCTCTATCCACACGTGGGTATGAGTTAGAATTGAGGGGTTTGTGTTAGGCCGGGTGAACTAGAGAAAGAAATGCATAGACACTGATATGAGTATAAGAGAGATTTATATAAAAGAGCAATTCTATATTAAGAGAAAAGCCCAGCTCAGTCCAGATCAAGTCCATAAGTCCGATATTAGCCCATATGTCTGATACTAATCTATAGATTTCTCTTCAGACTCACGCAACACATGCAACGACGCCGAATGCAGGAAAATGGCAGGCCAGTGGGTGGAACGTTTTGTGGATCCAGTGGCTGTGGAAACATCTCAGCGCTGGCGTGGGTCTTGGCGTGTGAACTGTGTCGCTGTAAGTTGAGGTCCCTTTAAGACATCTCTGGAGCTGGGCCAGACTGGTGGTTGGTGACCTGGCTGACAGTTGGTGACCTGCCTTGTGATTGGCTGCTGTGTTGAGATAGCCTAGCTCTCTCTATATAGAGAGGAAGACCTGGCAGAAGACTAGACTTGAAGGACTGCTAGTGTCTCACAACTCTCTCTCACGGGAGTGAGTTGCACTGAGTCATTTGTAGTGCTTTATAATTTAACTGTTCATTTCTTGTATTATATATTTATATGTATATAACTTAACAGTTCATTTCTTGTGTTATATATCTAATTATCTTTATAAATAAATATATTAAATTATCAGCAATTTGGTTTTATCTCTCTAGAGAACCCTGTCTAACACAGGTGGCACTAACTGCTAGCAGAAGTTAAAGGCAGCTTGAAAGAGGATGGAGTTCCTCATGTTAAGCTAGGTTACTACAATAGTCATAGCTATTTTGTAGAGTTAAAGGGCCCTGGTGACATAGTGGCTTACTCAATGAGCTGCTAACCCAAGGGTCAACAGTTTCACCCCCCCAGCCACTCCATGAGAGAAAGATGAGGCTTTCTGCTTCCATAAACATGTACAGTCCCAGAAACCCACAGGGACAGTTCAACTCAGTCTTATAAGACCACTATGACTCAGAATCAACTTGATGGAAGTGAGTGATTATGTTTCCCTCAGTTTACATTTAACTAATTTCATTTTACCTCAACTCTATCAGAGTCAATGTTTGCTAGGGAACCTGCTTGTTGTTCGTAGGTGATTCCACCCCGTAGCAACTCTCTGCACAGCGGAAAAAATCACTGCCATTTCCAGCATCATCTTCACAATTGATTAAGAGCCAGTTTCTGCGTCTCCCAACAATCCACGCTGACCTTTTCTTTCTGACCTTTTGCTTCCTTCATGGGTGATGTTCTTGATGTCCCTCCAACAGCTCGTGAGGTCTTTTGTCACGAGTGTTCAATGTATCAAATCCGTACTTGAGGTGTTCTCGAAATTCAGGTGGGCCAGACTCAAGGTTGTATTTTGGCTTTTATGAATTTGTTTGAATTTTCTCCAGCTTCATCCTGAACTTACATACGAGCAATTGATGGTCTGTTCCACAGTCAGCCCCTGGTTTGGTTTTAGCTGCTGATATTGAGCTCTGTCATTTCTTCCCACAAAACAAATGTAATCAATTTGATTCATGTATATTCCATCTGGAGAAGCCCATAATACTTTCAATATTCATTGTCAACATCATAGTTGAAATGCATCAATTTTTCTTTGGTCTTCCTTATTCAACATGCAACTTTCATATGCATGTGAAGCAATTGAAAATACCATGACGTGGTTCAGATGTGCATTAGTCCTCAAAGTAACATCCTTGTGTTTCCATATTTTAGAGAGGTCTTCTGCAGCAGTTTTAACCAGTGCAACATATCTTTTGATCTCTTGACTACGGGTTCCATGAATGTGAATTTGAAACAAACTGGAATCCTTGATAGCTGAGTGTATCCAACATAGTGTATAAAAGGACCGGGGCATGGTGGGGTGATCATATTTACCTATTTATTTATACATATATTAAAATCCATTCTGGAGACATTTCTTAAGAGACATATCTGCTACATATTTATGATACTTTTTTCCTGTGTCTCTGTCTAGAATGTTGTTGGGCATCACCAAGTCAATTCCAACTCAGAATAAGAACTGCCACAGAAAAAAAGAAAAGAACCACTCACATTGGGTTTTCTAGGCTGAAATCTTAAAATTTTTAACCCGGTGATTTATGCTGGTTCCATGAGCTCGAGTAGCCATGTAGAGACCCCTGCCAGCGCTGAGATGCTTATACCACCACTGGATCCACAAGACTTTCCACCCACTGACCTGTCATATTCCTGCATCCGGCATCATTGCATGTGTTTCATGAGTCTGAAGAGGAATTTATAGATTGGTATCAGACATATAGGCTAATATGGACTGACCTGGGATGTTTTCTCAATATTCAAATGCTCTTGTACACATACACATATACACTTATCAGTGTCTCTATGAATTTGTTTCTTTAGTCTACCCAGACTAACACACTGGCACATATATTTGTGGAATGATATATAAGCATACAAATCTACATGAAAATTTCCATAGAGGAAAATACTTCCTGTGAATGAAAAATGAGATTCAACATGAAGTCGGGAATTTGTCACTTTGTTTCCAGCACAATTTAGGTAAAAAAGTCACTAAAATTGATGACACATTATTTGGGGCACCTGATTTGACAGGGTAGAAATAGGTGTATAAGACTTCTGGCACTTGCCCTTCAGGTGTTTGAACTCTTTCTAACACCCCTAAGCTACCTTCAGTAACAATTTGGCGTCAGATATAGAATCTCTCATTGGGGAGAAAATGTTCAAAGAGCCAACACAACTATTCTGGCTGACTTACAAAACAAAACCTCACTGCCATCAAGTCAATTCTGACCAACAGAGACCCTGTAGGACAGAGGAGGAGGCCCTGTGGGTTTTCCAAACTAAAGCTCTTTACAGGAGTAGAAAGTCTCATATTCCCCCCATGGAGCGGCAGATGGTTTCAAACCGGCAGCCCAACACATAAACCACTAACCCAGGAGGGCTCCTTTTGGGCTAAATTGGCTGTTCTATTTCTCTAAACTGATTTTAAAAAACCTTACAGCTTTGACACCTTTCTTGTGTAACTGGTTAGTAGGTGAGATGTAGTCGATTAGTATGGTATTTCTAGCCATAATTCCTTATGTGAGGTACTGTAATTATGGGCTCTAAATCTGTTCTTGATCTGGATTTTCTACTGAAACCTGTTCAGTTTGGGTGGCCCTACTGGTATTTGAGAGCTCTGGTGGCATCGTGGTTACATGCTAGGTCAACAGTTCAAAACCACCAGCTGCTCTGAGGGAACGAGACAGAGTCCACTTCCATAAAGACTTACAGTCTTGGAAATGCATAGGTGCAGTTCTACCCTGCCCTATAGGGTCACTAGGAGTCTACATTGACTTACTGGCAGTGAGCTGAGTTTTTCAGCTCTTACTTGAAAATACCAGTGAAATAAGTTCCAGTAACACACAGCCACCACAGTACCACACACAACATCAACAATTATAGGAAGATGTCTTCCAGAAGAAGTACTTGTAGGTGAGTAAAATGACATATATTAAAGAATATTTGTTGCAGCATTATTTATGTCATAAAAAATTAGAAATATACAGCAATTGTCCATTAATGAGGAACTGGTTAAACATATTACAGTATACCAATACAATGGAATAAAATGTAATTGTAAAACTATAAATCGGTGTTGCCGATAAGGAAACTCAGGCGCCTGCACGGCCCTCTTTTTTCCAGGCGGCCAGGAAGAGGGCGGACATTCAGACAGAGCGTGCCTACCAAAAGCAGCCGACCATCTTCCAAAACAAGAAGAAGGTCCTCTTGGGGGAAACTGG